TGGCGCGCCTACCGCCAGGAGCGCGGGTCAGCGCACCGGTTGCGCCCAGCTTCCCACGTAGGGGTAATGTGGAGCCTCTCGGGCTCCCAAGACCTCCTCGAGTTATGAAAAAATTGCGACGGGAGGTTTCCCGGTATGTTCGGCCGCTGGGAGCCTTGCCAGGCCTCGAGACCTTCAGAAAACGATTCGGAATGAAAAGCCGGTCCAGGGAAATGGGTCGAGACCTTTGGGGGTCGACGTTGTGGAAAAAAACACGACGTCGGGTGGGTTGGCTCGCTCAATCGTTTGTGTTCCATGCGTGTCCAGTGCCGGCCGCTTGCCAGCCGCATTTGGCATCTCGCATGCTTCATAATCGAAGTGGTTCCCCACGGCCGCATTCCCCTCACAAAGCGCAGGCATATAGCGCCCCTCCCATGGCTGTTCTCCCTTCGCAAAGCGAAGCATGCAGCGCCCCTCCGGTCGTCCCCTCCTCCTCCTCCCTCCACCGCCACACGGATGCCATCAGCGACGCAATCGTGGTGGACCTCGTGCGGGCATGATTGCTGCAACTTCTGCCATGCTACACAGCCTCGCGCGCCTGGCCCACACAGGCGCTGGCACGTGCGCCTCACCTCACGTGCCGGGATCGACGCTTCACTCGCTTGCTCGCGCGCTCCTCCCCTCCCCCGCCCCTCCCCGCGCTTCCCTCTTCGCAAGCTCTGTCGTCGTCCTCGGCGGACTGCCGCCTCGCCGGCCCAGGCAGGGGCCTCTGCGCCGGCCAGCGGGGCCCCCAGGCTGCTGCGCGCCAGCAGTGTCGCAGGGGGGTCCATTTGCTCCTTCGCCCTGTCTATCTCCCTCCCCCCCCCACCCACCCCATTCTCCACAGCCACACCTGCAGGGGTTGAGCACTTGAGCAGGATCGACCGTGGCTCGTAGCCCAAAGTCTTAAGTAGGGCGGAACGGGCGGCCCGACTGGGGTCTTTCAGGTCCCCCCCCTTTCCAGGTGTGAGAGCTCCCCTGGTTATTTCACTCAGTGAACTGACATCCCTCCTCGTGAAGGCGGGGCGAGGCGTTGGACCTCAAGGGGCGGCTGCCGCGCCAGAGCACTGGCGCCGTCCCGTCCGCGCGATTCGGGCCTTGAGGCCCGTACGTCACGCCAGTTTCGGAGCGGCCGGCCACGCTCTCCCAAACTTCGATTGTCCCTTTATTCGGTGGGCTTCATGCGCCATGTTTAGCCTGCCTCGTGACCCATAGGATGGAGCTCATTCACGGCCGTGGCCTCGGGACTTTTTTTGCGTGGTTCTGCAGATTACAGCATTTCTTATGGGCGTACAGCTTTCTTGCTCTCCGATCCCTCTGTCCCCTGCTGGGCTTGGTGCCTCTCCTCCTGCTCCTCCTCCTCCTCCTACTCCTCCTCCTCCTCCTCCTCCTCCTCTTCCTCCTCCTCGCTCCTCGGCTTAGTGTTGGCGTTTTGTTCGGTCTGGCGCATCCCGCCCACCTGCGAAGCTTCTCGCTGGAAGCGGTGGGGGGCTCTGTGCAGTCGGGTCGGTGCACGCGTGCTGGCGTGGGATCACCGAGCGAGCTTGGTACACTTCGGGTCCTGCGGCGTGAGCTTGGCACACATGGTGCGCATTGGGTCCTGGCGTGCGTTCAAAAGGGATGCTTGGTACACATGGTACACACTGCGGTCCGCGCTTTTGAGCTGGCATGCGGGTCCTTTGTCAGATTGCTGCGATCCGCCCATCTTCCTCCAAGAGGAACATGCACCGTCCATTCTGTTCGCGTCATACAGGCTCTGTATTGGAGCGGCAGTCGTGGTCAGCTCCGGGTCACATGGCGCAGTTGGGTCACGGGGCCAACACGGGGTCACACCAATCCCGTTGTGTTCCCGAGGGATCCCCCTGAGGGCTCCTGAGAGGGGTCACACAACATGCCCGCCAACACGGGTGCGTGGTTGCCGCAAATTGGCAAAGTTACAGAATGAACACGGCCACATAAAATGGCACCGATACTGCGGATACGTAGTAAAAATACGAAGAATGGAAATATCAGCAAAGCGGCCGACGCCATCCGCACTGCACTGAGGCTGGGCCCGAGGCTAACCGGTGGCGCTGGTGACGAACGCTCCTTCCGATGGACGTTCGTTCAAACCCCGCTTTCGCTCCGTCTTTTGGTGTCCCCCTCCTCCGTGTCTTCCTTCTCCTCGTCCTCCTCCACCTCTTCCTGCTCCTCCTTTTCCATTCCTTTTCCTTATAAATCTCCCTGTCGCAGCCCGAGGCCAGTTTTTAGGGCGGGCCGGGTGTTTCGCCTGAGACTTCCCCACCATTTATGACCCTGAAGCTTAAACATTGGCAACAATTTCCGAAATGGAGGCCGGGTCGTTTACAAAATGTGGCTCTCGCCTTGGCGCCGCGCACATTCGTTTTCAGAAATTTACAAGAGTCTTACGGATTGAGGGCGACCCGCTTTCAAAATGTGGTTCTCGCTTTCGCGCCGCGTATATTCCTTTTCAAAATGTGCA